AAACCGTCTCAATTTATTGAACTCGCACTCATATTCATAATGTGATTGAATTGCTTCAAATTCATAAACTCTTGCTTAATTTTCCTGATAAACTGATCTCCAATATACTTGTGTTTAAACTCTTCCGAAAAATAGAGACCAAGTCACTTGATCACTTGCCAACCTCATGGTGACATTCGTCCACCATATCCTAGCTTGTCCCCTAACCAAAGAAATCGCTCCATCCAACTTCTCCACTTCAGAGCAGTAGAGATTATCCAACATAATCTTCAAATCATTAAGCCAGCGGTCTGCCACAACCAGACCTTCCTCGGTTTCTCCCTTAAATTCAGGAGCTCATAATCCTTTTAACTCCTTCGCCAAATTCATTCTTTGAGTTGATAGAGCAGGAGGTTGGAGACGCGTTAAAATAACGTCCAATGTCCTAAATAATGTATCCTGATCTTGCACGTGCATTCTCTGAGGAGCCTGCTCTTCACATTGCCTGGCTAGGGTAGGTGAATTACTACTCTCGGCTGGCCTATTATCTCTCGCTTCACTTCGGGAGCTATCTTGTCTGGACATCTAATAAAACATAACCAGATAATTCTATTAGCAAGGCAACATACTCATTTCTAAATCAGATCATAAGTATTCAATATTCTGTTGGTATATAACTATTTAAAACACTTTTGACCTCGGTTTATGCCTAGAATTGGCTAAACATAAACCATTAAATGTAATACCCCAACCTGTACCCCACCCAGATACGAGTCCGAGATGACATATTACCATTTAAAATAATATACTTGTACAAAATAATAGAAAATTTAAACTTATATTAAGAAATCTAATAATTTACATCAATTTAATACAAAAACTTACAAAAGTAATCAGAGCATATACAACTTAAACTTTTAATTACATGCCAACATTAACTTTCACAACAAAATAACCTACTGTTTAAGTTGCTTATGATCTGATATCTGCAGGAGTGATGCTATCCCAGATGATTATACTTGCTCATCTAACTTCTTGGATCCTACGTGTGAATCACTCACACGCTAAGTCATTGACTTAGTGAGGCATAATATGTAATGATACTATGGTGAGATTGGGTATAATGCTATCATATGTTCATTCAATGCAACTTACATAACCATGCATTTCACACATAAATTTATCATACTATCAATCTGAATTCATAATAAATCTTTCATTAGCCCATGATACAATACTGAGAACTTAAGGTATGTGAGTGCATTGAGGTTGTGCACAAATGTTATCACCACAGCTCGTATAAAATGCACCGAAGTGCCACGTAGAAATGCATTGAAGTGCCGCATAGAAATACACTGAAGTGCTATATAAAATGTCCCGAAAGACCACATAGATATCTCCTTAAGAACCATATATATTCCAAATGACCAAATATGTGTTCCAAAGAACCACATAAATGTTCCCAAGGATTACATATATGTCCCGAAAGACCACGTAGAACCCTCGACTCTTGGAATGCCAATTATACCTATAACCCTCATCTACATAGCATGGGCTTTTCACAATTCACATAGTTTATATTTCATAAACATATAAGTTTGTAACTTTTATCACATAGTTCATGTAAACTACTCATACATATTCTTTTGGATCATTGTCTTATAATGTATATCATATAAATTCATGTCATATATCATATTGTGTAATGCAATCAAGAAATGTTTACATCCTACCATTCATGAATATGCTTATACTTATGCAATCATATACTAAATAGGTTGGAAGTAGACTTATCACAAGTCTAATTTCAATATCATTCTATAAATATTCTATAAGTATGCACTCAAATATATCTCTTTGTCTTTTCCTCGATCGATCTTACTCGTCAATTGTTCCAGAGCTTGTTTATGCTCAGTATCTATATAAATACAATTTCAAAGCAATTATCAGAATCCTAAACCTTATGACTCAATCTTAATAACTTAAACAATTTGATGGACATAATTCACATTTCCTTATTAAGTAGTATCGGTACCTAAGGTACAGTACTGATGATTCCATTATAATGGTATCGATACCATACTCGAGTATCGATACCCAATTTCGATTCTGTAATTACATTTCCAAAATGGTATCGATACCTTCCTTATGTTATCAGTACCTAGAATATTATATCCTACAATATCTGTGTAGTATCGGTACTAACTCATCTAGTACCGATACCACTCACCCAGAACATACTTCTTTCACTCGAAAATCATCAACTCTTTACTTAATTTCCACCTTTAAAGTGCCTTTTCTACCACCAGCCTCAACTATAATCACTTTAACTATCTTTTATCATTCTAACACCTTATCACTTTCAATATCTCATTCAAATTATTGTAACTAAGAATTTTACTAAATTTTCAACATAATCCAAACTCAGTTCTAACACTTATTACTTCTTATTCAAGCTTATGACAAGTCAAATATAGCTTCCAAATTTATTTATCTTCTCTTATTCAAATTTTCACTAAAAAAACTCCTTACCTTCAATCGTCCATAACTTACTATCATTTGGATTTTAAACTACTTTAAACCTTCCTTAAGTTTTCCTAACATTTTCAGAATCTAAAGCATATCTAATTTACAAAAAAAAAAAAATTCAACTGAAGGAGTTCTTACCTTACGAAGTGGCTCACGGAGAAGATGAAGGAGAGAAGGATGAAGAATAGAGAAATTTTTAGAGATGAAATCCCATAAATCTCTTTCCACGTGTTATAAAATCCCATAGCTAAATTTTTAATTTATTTCCTTGCTAAAAGACCTTTTTGCCATTCCAGTTTTTCTTCCTTTGATATTCATCTTACACAAAATATTTCAATTAAGTCCCAAAACTTTTCAATTTATATAATTTAGTCACTCAATTCTAAAATCTCACAATTTGATCACTAACCCGATGTTTGAGATGTTACAACTGAAATGTGAATATATTATATTAATGTTTTTCATTCTTTTTTTCTTTCAAAAAGGCATTTTATTACTTTTTATAATTACCTTTCGAGGTCATCTATTTCAAATGCCAATACATTGTATGAGAATATGAGAAATGTTTGGTTACTGGTCAAATTCCATCATAGATTAAACCAGGGGGAATAAGCTTTTAATAATGAAAAATAGGGACCAATCACATTTAATCGATTTGTTCGTCTTTGTTTTATCATATTTTTTAAGCCATGAATTCTAGACCTAATATAAGCACTATCATTTGTTTCTATAGAGCCCACATTCCCCTCCTCCTTGGGTAGAATTAAGATTAGATTTAGAATTTGTCAAAAAATAAAAAATAAAAAATAAGGTAAATTACTTATTTAGTACCTAATTTATTTTCACATTTTTATTTCGATCATTCAATTTTTTTAATTATACATAATATTATGTTATATTTTTAGTACCCGAGTTAAGTTTGATTGTTGACTAAAAAAGAATGATGTGACATAATATAATAATAATTTTAGTTATCAAAATTTACATATTTTATCAAATTGACCATAATTTAAAATAATTTCAATAAATCCTCAATACTTAAAATCATGTCAATTAGGTCCTATTTTAACTTGAAATAATTTAATAATTTAATATTAATTTTTAAATATTAAGTATTTATTAAATTATTTCGAGTTATTACCAATTTGATAGGATATGTATTTCAAGACTAAAAGTGTTATTATATTGACATATCATCATACAATTAAATCAATGGTCAAACTTAATGATAGTATTAAAATAGAAATACAATATAACGCTAGATACGACTCTAAGAAAAATAGTTTAGTTACCAAAATATAAACACGATAAGTGAAGTATCAAGCATATAATTTACCCTATAAAGCCCCTCTATCTCAAAGATCACTATTGTTTTTCTAATGCAAAGAAATCTATTTCTTAGCATTTGTACTATATATGCATATATAGAGAAGTGAAATTGATTTTAACCAGTATAATACTAATATATTTTATATATTTTTTAAAATTTTAATAATGTTAATAATTTAATAAATATATCACTTTAATATATCAATAACTTTTCGTACATATAAATTTCCAAACCCATATGATATTTATATTATATTGATAAAATTATTATTTCTCGTAAATATATAATTTTAAATAATGTAGGTGATTATAAGGTACTATTTGTTAAAAACTTTTCTTAATTATTGACAACACACGTACACCTACAAACACAACTGCTTGAATCTAAAATCTCTAAAGAGAACAACATTCTATTTAATCACTGAAGTCACTTAACGTATCTTTCTCATAAATATATTTGGAAATTGATTTTTTATTTAAAGTATGAAATTTCTTAAACATATATTACTAAACTATGTAATTATTATTATTTCTGATCAATAATTGAATTATTAAAATATTTTTAAAATTATATGAAAGTATAATAAAACAAATTGGTTAGATTAACTTGAAGTTTTAAATAAAATTATCAAATTAATTTAAAACTTAAATTATAAATTAGTTTAAAACTTGCGCTCGCATAATAAATATAATTATATTATTAAATCTAACTATTAATTTATCATCATATGAAAATATATAAATGTAATTTAATTTTATTGTATTTATTATTATTTTCTTCATTAGTTTAAATAATTATAAAATAGTATCAATTTAAAAGATTCTCTAATATTTAATAATAAACTCTCAAATAGCCTTAGAGACGATGTGTTTGAATGTATAATCTCTAAAAATAACAATCATTCTCTAAACCCGTAAAATTGCTTGATTCAAACTTTAACCTAATATTTAAGTAGTGATGTATATATTTAGATTGTAGCATAAAGTATGATAGGATTCTCTTAATGAAGGGAGTCTGATTATTTATGCATGTCGTTGTCTTTAACCCCACCACTAATTTCTCATTCAATTCAATATATCATAATCTACCCTAAATCAAACAAATGACAAAAGCTGGAAAAAAATAAAATATAAAGATGGTGAGAGGAATTGAATGCGAAAAGAGGACTAGTTCTTCCCTTAAACCAAGCCAACTTTCATAAATCAGCTTCTATATCTGCTAGGGTTTTCCCACATAAACAACTCTGGTAAAAACAATTCCAAGCTCTGATGAACATGGGGTTTATGAGCTACCATGTAGTAAATGACCAAAGCTTGTGTTTTCAAGCTCCTACTTTCATTGAGTGGCTCAAGCCATCTTCGTCGTCATCATCATCATCTTTTGAATGGCTCAACCCCATGGATACTTTGAAACTGCAGCAGCAGCAGGAAACTATTGAATGCCTACCACTTTTGAGCAGGTTTACTGAGAAGAAACCATTGAAAGAGGAAGATTTGGAGAAGAAGAAGAGTATTGGGGATATTAAAGAAGAAAAGATTGAGAAATTTACGATTTCTCTACACATTGGGTTGCCTAACAGCAATAATATTCCAGTTGCAGACAACGAGGTTATGAAGGAGAAAGAAGCCATGGAGAAAACCTTCCATGGATGCTCTTTGAACACTGCAAGTAGGTTTTGGATCCCAACTCCAGCACAGATACTCGTCGGTCCCATGCAGTTTGCTTGCTCAATTTGTAGCAAGACATTCAATAGGTACAATAACATGCAGGTCAGTCCACTGCTTTTCTTCTTCTTTTCATTTCTGTGAATCAAATTACCCTATAATTCCTTGAAGATCAGTTTGTTCTTGTAGGTCAAAGAACAAAATGAAGAAAGAATACTTGAAAATATAATGATACAAAATAGACAATTGTTTTAAGCATTTTCGTATAGACACACTCTACTTTGGATATGATTTGAAGTAGCTAATACATGCAATGGAACTTGGCCATAATTTTATATTCTGGTTTGAGTTTATCTGGTTAAATCTTTTATGATTTTGGTGCTATCAAATGTCTTTTTTTACCATCTAGTCACCCTTCTCCATCCACTGGAAATTCAAAGATTACATAGATATTAAGAAACAGCTAAAAACAAAAATAATAATTGAGTCCAATTTTGTTTATTACCTTAAATGATTTAAAGATAATATTTGTTTGAAATTCTCTCAATCAATTCACAATAAACGCATACACACTTTGCAAGCACCACAACTCGAATTGAAGATTTCTAGAAAGATCAACAATCCCTTTGATTATTGAGATCGATTCATGGGTTCCTAATTGAGTCCAACCCTGGGAGTAGTTTCATAAGAAATTGGAAAGTAGTATAGATAATTAATTTGCAGGCTCCAATTTTACTGTTTTAAACCATAATTGAGGTAATAATTCTGAAGTGAAAATTGATCCTTTCCTCTTATTTTAACTAATCCACATCCAATTTGTTTTGATTTTTTGTCCTTGATTGCTTCCTTTTTGGGTGGAAAGATGTGAGGGAAGAAAGCAAGCTGGGGTAGCAAAAGCATTCTTTAAGATTTTTACTTATAAAGAGGTTTTAGTGGTAGGAAGTTGAATTTGATTAGGCCAAAACAAAACTTTTAGAGCTTTGGATTCTTATCTTGGTGACTAATTTCACTCATTAATCACTTTAATTATTTCAACTTTTTTATTAGAAAACATAGCTTAATGATCCTTGTAAGAACATTATAAAGAGTCGAACTCATTTAGTAGCCTCAATGGTAAAAGAAAATGTTATCTTCAGAACCCAAGTTTAGGTAATGGACTTTGAAAAGTGTGTGTGCGTTGATAAATTATCCGAGACTACTAAAAAAGCAAGTGTTTCCTTTCGCAAAAAAGCATGATATATTTGCATGAACAGATGCATATGTGGGGGCACGGATCTGAATATAGGAAAGGGCCAGATTCACTTAAAGGAACACAACCGGCAGCAATGCTGAGGCTACCATGCTACTGCTGTGCCCAGGGCTGCAAAAACAACATAAACCACCCTCGAGCCAAGCCATTGAAAGACTTCCGAACACTCCAAACACACTACAAAAGGAAACATGGTTCCAAACCCTTCATGTGTCGGAAATGTGGCAAGGCGTTCGCCGTCAAAGGCGATTGGCGAACACATGAGAAGAACTGCGGCAAGCTATGGTATTGCACCTGCGGCTCCGATTTTAAGCACAAAAGGTCTCTGAAAGATCACATCCGGTCGTTCGGCAAAGGCCATTCCCCTCATCCTTCCCTTGAGGGATTCGAAGATGACAAGGAATGCATCACCGGTTCCGAAAGCGATTTCGTTCACTAGACTTGTTCACTAGACTTGTGACTCAAGTAACCTTCTTGTTTTGAGATTTAGAGAGATCTAATAGCTTTAAAAGTTTCTTAGGCTTACCCCCAATTAAGCTTTTGCTCTATAACAAAACATTTCTCAAACAAAAAACATGGGGACAGTTTTGGTATGGAGCCCTTGCTGAGTAGGGGTTGAGCCTCAGTAACTTTTTTTTTTACTCTTTGGGAAATAAATTAAACAGACAAAAGCAAAAGGGTTACCTCAAGTGGTGAAGAAGATGAATTTTCTTCTCTTCAAAAGAGAATTGGGTTATTTTCTCAAAGGGAGAAAATTTATCTGCTTCATTGCCAATTGGTAATCTTTAGTAGGATTGAATGTTGCATTGTTTTCTAGTTTTTCATATCTCCTGCCTTCAGACCTTTGTTCACTTATTCATGTGTAAGTTTGTTACATTTAATTTTAATTCTAAATATCTATGAATATAGTTTTTATAATTATTGTATAGGTATAATATCAAAAAATGTTTCAAACGTTTGATTAAATAGTTATTTTTGCCATATACTTTTTGGAGCATTTTGGCCCCAATATTTCATTTTAAGAGCAAAAAGACTCCTTAATGTTTGACTAAATACTCACTTTGGTTTTTATTCTTTATTCTTTAAGTATTTTGGTTCCTAACGTTTCGTTTTGGGACAAAAAGTTCCTATTTTAGAACGCTGATAGTTTGTTGATTATCGGTTTCCATCCAGTGCGAGGTCTTGTTGCCCTAAAATGAAATATTGGGGGTCAAAGATGATCGTAGAATTTTATGTTTGGGCGAATTTCTAAAATTTTAGAAGCTGACAAACTTACAAAATTTTTTAGCGAAGAAAACAAATTATCGATAGAAAATTTTAAAATATATGATTCTTTTAAGTTTTATGGGACGCCTATACTAGCCACCCCTCGATCCATCCTAATTAGGGTCAAAATACTTTCAGAAAAAAATAATATCAAAATAAGTATTTCATCAAACATTATGGAATTTTTATTATTATGCCTATTATTTATTAACCAATGAGATACAATAGACTGATCCCTCAATGTATCCATGTCTAATTTAATAAATTACTAATGAAAATATACTATATTAATTAAAGGACTGATTGTTATTAAAAGTCTGAACATAGATCTAAACACGCATGCATGTAAGATGTATGGTCATCAACAACCCCAACAAGTTAAAAGGAAATACATATTCCATGTCCAATAAAAGATGCAAACATAGGAAATGAATCACAATTATTCAACATAAAACTCTTCATATTGTAAAAGGTTTCCCACATGAACCAGTTAATTAAATTAAATCAATGTGCTTAATAATTAATAATGATCCATTCAGAAAAAGAATAATTAGTAATGATGCTTTCCTGCTCTCTTTTCAGTATTTGGTTGCAACCTAAAAGAATAAAGACACCAATTGGTTGAAGTTTAAACATAACTTAATTAAGACTATCACGGAACCAACCCCACACAATCACATCAATTAATAACAGTAGAACCAACCTCATAATTAAATAAATTAAAATATTTAATGTTTTCTTCGCTCAGCAAAAAGATATCAATAAAAATTATAATCTTACTTTAGCCACCGTAAAATATTTGAAGGTTATTATTAAATAGTTAATCATGTTTGAAATAAATATTATCAATTATATATATTTTTAAAATTTTAAAAAATATTAGTAGGATATTTGATGCAGGGGGATCTGAGACAGATGATGCTGAGCTGTCAGATTGCACGTTGATGGCGCTGAGATACCATGAGTTGGCAGATCAGCGCAAAGGCGGGAATTGATTGTGACATGTTCCTTATTGGGGTCGTTTTGAGTATGTTTCAGTCTTTTGGCCATAACTTTGGCTACAGGTGTCAGAATCGCGCATAAGACCCCAATCCGGAAAGCTCTTTTCGACGCGCACGCTCTCCACATTGAGCTACGCTCCATGTGGCCTTTTTTTCAACCTCAAATTCTGCCGTTTTCCCCTCCGAATCACTAGATTTAGTTATTTTTTACTATTTATGGTAATATTTCGATTGTTAATTAGGAAGTCAATTTAAATCCGATTTAGACCGGATTTTTGGGAGATTGCTTATTTTATTTCGAATTTCAATTTAGAGTGATTTTCGGGATTTTGCTATTTTTGGCAAAATTCGAATAAATACGATTTTTGCTATTTTTGGCAAAATTCGAATAAAGACGATTTTTTTAGCTATAACAGTCCGGCTTGTGGACTGCTTTTGACGATTATTGATTTTATAATATTTTATTAAACCCTAGAGACTTATTTTCTCTGGTTTTTGGGCGAATTTTCTCTTGTGAATCGTCTGTCGGAGCTAGCCTACAGGATAATCACTATTCTGTCTGGCGTCAATATTGAAAAACAACACTTGTTTTGTATCATTCTAACATTGTAGTGCAACAGAACTGAAGCAATTATATATATATATTAAGTTTGGTCCACTCAAAATATGTATATAGAGATGAATATGAGTCGGGTCTGGTTTTCGGTCAACTCAATCGACCCGAAAATATAAATCCTCTACTTGGAATCTAATTCGACTTGAGTTTAGGGGTAACTTCACTCGTTCCGAATCTGACTCTATTTTTTGAGATAAAATCTAACCTGATCCTATTCGAAACAAATATATTTATAAAATATATTATTTTTATACAATAAAAATATTGATCTAATTAGAAAAAATATATATAGAGGGTTATTATTATAATTATCCCTATATATATAAGGTAATTTTTAGGTCGGATATTTTTTACCATAAACTCAAATCCGATCCGAATATATTTTCAAAAAAACCCGAACTTGACTGGAATATATTTTCGAAAAACATCCGACCTGATAAAGTCAGATCGGATCGAAACCCATCGGGTTCGACTCCTGTATCCATCTCTATACATGTATAATAAATTATTAAATTTTGTTATAAAAATATTATATAATACTTTGGAATTTGGAAATCATTTAAATCTCATTTAATAAAAGAGTTAGCAACATTTTTTATATTATTTTAAATCAATGAAAATTTATTTTATTTTTTTATTTTTTATTTTAAGATATAATTTTTAATGTTTCTTCGTTTGGTTGTTTAACTTCTTTGAATTGTTTGTCTTTTTTATGTTGAGGCTTTCAATCAAGTTATCAAGAATTCAACTTTTAATTTCATTTTAATCAAAGGTAATTTTTTTAAAATAATTTTCAATTCAATTTATATTTATGGTTTTAGTTTAAATATCTATATTTACTATGCGAGTTCATGAATTTTTATCACTAAAAATAAAAACTTAAACACAATTCTAGATAACATTTTTATCAATATTTTATTTCTTTAAATTTTTACATGAACAGATGAATTTTAAGAATTTATAAAATTTTATTTTATTAGTATGATACTTTGATATATAAATTACATTGATAAAGATAATAAAATATTTTAATTAATATATATAATTTGTTTAAATGACCCCTTCAAAAATTAATGTTGAGTTCTGCCACTCATCTTTGCAAACATGCTTTTGCTACTCTTTCCTTTATATAATGTTTATAGATGATGCTATTATTTTAATGGGTAAATCATGTGGATAGTCCCTTTTGTTTTCGGTTTGTTTAATTTTGATCATCAATTTAAAAATTAAGAGTACATGGTCCCTAACGTTATCGATTCGTTCAATTTTAGTCCATCTCCGTTAATTCTTGTTAACCTTTTAACGGAAGTATTACATGACAATGAAACATAAAAAAAAAAAAGCACATATTCTTCTCCTCCTCCTCCTCTCCCTCCTTAATCATTAATAAATCATATCTTAACTTACTTTTGTTTCTTCTCTTTTCCATCCCCACTCCCTCCATATAATTTAGAAACGAAAAAAAAAGCAATGGAGCTTAATATATGAAAATTTAAAAGAAACCAAAAAAAATTCCCACAAGCTTCATTTGTTTTTATCAAAACATAAAGTCCACTTTAACCCCCCACAAGTTTATATTCTGAGGAATCTTCTTAACGGTTTGCTGCACGAAGCCAACGACAATAATAAAAGAGACACCGTGCATTTATGGGCTCTAAAGCTGATGATGATTTATGGTGAAGAAATAGTCGTTCTTGTTGATTCTTGTAGTGGCCTCTTGCTTGTACTTAGTGTTCTTGCATGTTAGCTTTATTGTGACATTTGCAAAAATGACAGCCAAAGTGCTTAGTTTACTGTGAAAATTCAAACTAGCCATGTAACAAGCTTAGTTTACTGTAAAAATGCATGCTAGCCATGGATGTCGAAGTGGAAACCTAAAAATATGAGATCTTTGAATTTGAAAAATCCCACAAACCTACTCAAAATTCAAATATATATATAAACAACCCCATAAACCGCCACAAAGCCCCTTGTAAACTTTGGGTGAATTGATGGCTTAGCCGAGGGAGGTGATAGTGGTAAGTAGCTGCTCCAAAAACCAACACAAAGCCCTTTGTAAACTTTGGGTAAATTGATGGTTTAGCCGAGGGAGGTGATAGTGGTGAGTAGTTGGGTGTTTTGGGTGGAGGGTCGGTGTATTGGATGAAAAAGGATAAGTTGGTGGTTTGGGTGGTGTTTTTGCGTGGGGAAGCACAAGTTGATGTTGTAGCGGGTATCTTGGATGGTGGAGGGGGATAAACAAGTGGATGCTTTGGGGACTGAGGGTGATAGCGGTGGTGGTTCGGTGAATGAATAGGTGGCGTTATAGAAGAAGATGAAGAAAGCATGTGAGCTTTTGGAATTTTTTTAATAAATTTTTATTCCTCGTCACTTGCGGTTAGTGACTTATGTAGATTTATTTATTATTTTTAATGGCCACGTAATACTTCCGTTAAAGGGTTAACAGGAGTTAACGACTGAGGGTCTAAAATCGAATAAACCGATAATGTTAGGGATCATATACCCTTAATTTTTAAATTAGTGACCTAAGTCGGACAACCGAAAACAAAAGGGACTATTCTTAAAAATATTTTGTTATTATTA